GTAGTCGTAGTCGATGATGCTGGATGTTTTCTCGGATTGAAGCATAACCAAATACCTGTTTTCTAATCACCTCGTTACTAACACGCTGACGCCATCCAAAACCAACCACCCTTCTGAGGCATCGGTGGTCGAAAACCTGAAGACGCTTCACATCATCTGTCCATAGAGGAGGTCATGTCTAGCACCCGTACAACACAGTCTTACTGTAGTCTGGTACACACGACTCAAGGAACTGTTATCAATAAACCTAAACTTATTACGCGGAACCTATTTTGGGACCTGTCCGAAACTGGCTCTCCAATAAATTAAGACACGAACTCACTACCAGGATGTTCGCGCATCAGATCTAATTTATCTTATTTTAAAATGCATTTATTTGGGGTAGGGAAATCTAACATTATTGCAGCTCTCGTGCTCTCTCCGAATCGTATGTAAGACAGCTATGGATCCCAAAGGCTCCGCAATTGCACATACGTGTCGAACAAAGAGATACCCCTCTGGCAGCTACCCGCCTGTACCTTGTACTGAAATGCACTCTTGAAAAGAAATTCACGTATATTAGCGAGATAGCATGGAAACTGGATCACTTTAAACACTATTCATACGTGATATACAACACTGGTTAAGTGAGCCTATGATGATCGGGAGTCATGTGAGTCCACCACATTGATGCGCTTAGAAACAAGTTCAAAGCACCTCCAGTAGCAAAGAAACGCCACCGATCAATTATTGTTTTGTGAAAAAGTGGGCATGTGATCTGCAAAGATCGGCAGAGTTTCGTGATGCCTATGTAGTTGCATACAAAGCCGAGAACAAGCAATGAGAACAGATAGAAGGGCGTGTGAGACGGTGTGCCGACACAAACGAAGTGAAGTGAAATTGGGAGAGCTGAAAATAACAGACAATCCAATCGCACGAACAGATGAATGAAAGACAAGTGATAATGGAAAACTGTCGTCATCAACCTGATCAATTCCTCAAGGCCGCTAGACGTGCTTGCATTTCAGACATCTCCTCCTCATCGTCCTCGAGTACACTCCCAGCCAACTCACTAGGTGACTGGCTCCCACCAGCAATCGGCATGTCTGTGGGAACTGAAACCAAACCGATGCCAGGCGGTTTGACCACCTCGCCAGATGTGATTTCGAAAATGATCTTTTCGACCTCGGCTGCTGTGGCCTCCTCCATATCATCCGCATCGCCCATAGTGGACTCCATTGTGTCTTGGATCATCTCATCAATAAGGCCCATCTTTGTCATCTCTTTGCTGAGATCTCGCATCGTTTTCTGAAGCTCAGGAAGCTGTAGAATGAGAACAAACGCAGGCAACTGTAAGTCGGGACAATTTTGCTTTCACTAGCCATGGAATGGAAGAGAAATCGAAAAAAATCAGTGGAGCTTGAGGGGCTACCAGCTGTGGGAACTGAAACCAAACCGATGCCAGGCGGTTTGACCACCTCGCCAGATGTGATTTCGAAAATGATCTTTTCGACCTCGGCTGCTGTGGCCTCCTCCATATCATCCGCATCGCCCATAGTGGACTCCATTGTGTCTTGGATCATCTCATCAATAAGGCCCATCTTTGTCATCTCTTTGCTGAGATCTCGCATCGTTTTCTGAAGCTCAGGAAGCTGTAGAATGAGAACAAACGCAGGCAACTGTAAGTCGGGACAATTTTGCTTTCACTAGCCATGGAATGGAAGAGAAATCGAAAAAAATCAGTGGAGCTTGAGCGTAGGGCTACCAGAAAAGCTTGAAGCGTGAACAAAATAAAGAAGTGAAAGGCTCAGCGCGACACCCACTAGAAATACTCGAACCAGTGAATGATTTCTAAGCGATTTATCATGAGTGACCCATAGTGTTCAGTTCAACAGATACAGAGGTACCTTACAGAAGTTACGTTAGAAAGCGAAACTATGCAGGCGCGAAACAACCAGAAACCAACCTCATAGGAAACGAAGCAACTTAGTTGACCCCAGCAAGCGTTCAGATTAGTTTTAGGCAATCAGAACCAATAAAAACAAGAAGGGATCGCACCCTTATTACTCAGAGTACAAGCCTAGCAGAATTAAATACTTTTAGTTCGGCGCTCCCTGCCTCACCACGAAGACTATTGTGCGAACTTACGAAAAATTCTGTGAATACTGTATAAAAACAGCTGTCGAAAGTTGTTTGCTCCACTGCATAATTTCTCAAGCCGCCAAGTTTGTGATATAGCATGGTGGGCGGAAGAGCAAGCCAAGGACTGGTGTAAGACTTACGCCATTACAACAAAAAACGAGCTTTGGAGCTGGTGAACTTGATGTTCAGATTTGAACGAAGCACAGTGTTCGGTAACTTTGAGTTCGACAGTCAGCTGGACTAGAACTTCTGGGTAGTCCTCATCAGCTATACAGTTTTTTGAATTGGTTCACATGTGCTTCAAACCAAAACTCATATTTACATTTTTCAAGTACGCAACCTATGTACAGTGGACTGTTAGACGGAATCCTACACCGAAAGCGCCTTGCTAGTAGGCAGTGCAACGGCCAATAAACCTAACTCACACGGGGCGTTGGCCGGTTCAATAAGGCGAGCTCTGAATGGACGAAGACGTGAACCCAACAAACAATCGTGTTCTAGTGTCCCCTGAAGCCCGTTTATAGCGGCACGTCCAGAAGGCGTACGAAATTCCAAGATATTGTTGTCACCCATAATTTAGCTACGACGCCTTGTACATGCTTCCAAACTGGCTTTGGTCATTTACTACACTCTGTGAACCGATGGTGGCCTATTTCCTGAAAACGCTAGTTTAAGAGAGAACGAGCTGAGGCACAGCCGTTTTTCCCAGGAACTGAAAATTTACGCCTATCAGCAACCCGTCTTCAAAAACAAAGATGGAAACATAGTTTTGACAAGATGAAGATCGAAGTTATGCCATATAATTTAGGATTGTCTTCAACGGACGACCGGACGCAGCTAAACCGTTTCAAACGGGTACACCGCACTGAGCAAAATAGAACCAGGAAGGCAGACAAATGGCAGATCACTAAAAGCCAAGTGGGAGTGGAAAGAGATGGAGTCAATGGGGGATCAAGGGATGGCGGGACTGCTGTCATGCTCTGCTACGATCGTTCTGGACCGGTCCACCCTGACAACTCACTCGTTCCCGAAGAAGTTCTGAGCTTAATGAAAAAGTTACAATCCGTCTGCATCTCACAAACTGCCCCCAAATCCCACTGCAATACATTTAAGAATAGGTGATAAATGACGAACCTTACCTTAAACAATGCGGACATAGATTTCATCACAGCGGTGCTACTCTTCAAGCAACCGGCCATCTTTGTGGTGGCCGCCTGACAATTCAATTCGGAAATGATGCAATCCAGATTGGCATTTGCTGAGTATAATCTTGACACAGCTTTTCTCGAATTGACCAACTCGCGCGCGAGTATCTTTGCTTCATCAAGGTTGCCAGCTTTCGCTCGTTTCTTGATGTCTGCTTCAACTCGCTTATTTTGTGCCTGTAGGCCAGTGATATCCCGCTGTATGTGGTACTTTTGCCTTCGGACAACAGAAACCATATTCCTTAAACGTTCTCTTGGTGTGGTTTTTTCGCCAAACAGCTTCATTCTCACACAGAGAGAACAGAAGGATCAGAAACGCTGTACAGTACAGATGAATAGCAAACGGACGGACTAAGAGGCGCGCAGATGACTTGGTAACAGGCACTTTAGCTACCGATGGCGATCGGACGGCTAAAATGGGATGGAAAATATTCGTTAGGCAACCAAACGGAAGATGGGCACATACCAAAAAGCTCAGTAACAACAGAGCAGAGAAAGGGGTAGACGGCGTCCATATTGGGATATGCGTATACACTGGGTTCCATAAGGAGGGGGCCTCAATGGGGAGTCAGTAGATTCACTAGATTGGCGCGACAACAGATACCCATTAAGTCAACAAGTTTAACCAGCGAAGGATTTCCTTCGTGCCTCATCACCAGTCATCAACCATCGCCATCGCGAATTACCATCATTAACGGCACAGGCTAAATGCCGGCACCCGCCCGCCAACCATCATCAAGTAAGAATGTCCTATTAACGGGCGTAGACTTCGTAGAAAGCGTTATTATAACCTGAGGGAATGTGAACGACCAAGAGAGAATTATGAATAGCTGAGCATCAATCAGGGGTAGAAGGATGTCTGTGCCAGATTCCTTACAGAACTTTAACCCAAACACGCCCAGTGGATAAAGACACTGTACCAAATCAGTTCGACCAGTGAATAGCGTACCGCCACTTGTATGCGCTGCGTTCCATGTACTTCAGAGTTTCCAGCGAAGTGTTGGAGGATCAGCGTGAACCCCAACCAGGAAGGTCCCACAGGATTCAGTTGGAATAAAGCCGTTTTCGTGTTGCATTGTCGAATCATGACCTATTTTGCGAAAGCCTCTGTCAACAAGGATTCAGAACTGAAGACTTCCCCTTAAGAGATTACCGAGAGACACCATCTCTAGCAGCAACACTAATCAAATCTAGTGTTCCATTATCATACAAACATGGGGAAAGAATGCCCAAGGATACGCGGGCGATGGTACCAAAAACCGCTAGTGCTGAGAGGAGACAATCAATCACAAGGTGAAATACACAAATCTGTGCATTAATCAGAGAAAACCATCAGTGAAATGGAGCCAACATCCATTGTGAGACTTATCGAACACAAACGTAGACAAACATTAGCTGAACAGTCCGACTGCTACGCTTGGTTATGCTGTATAACCTGAAATGTCTAAATACCTGTCAAACACAGGCAAGAAGGCGATAAGAGCACTTAGCACTGTCTGTATCGGACCGCTTTCGTTTGACAGTGTTACGTCTTCGCCAGTTTTCCGAAAACTATCCAAAAGTTCGAAATGAAAAAAAAACAAGTTTCCTTATGCACTTAACTTTAGGCGCGCACCAAGTAACTCAAGATTGATATCCCGCATTATGAGACTCAGATATTACAAGAGAGATGCATCAAGTGGTTAGAGCGCGAATTTACCGACCGGAAGGTGTGGTTCGAACCCCAACTCTGCCTCTCGGCTTCCCCTGTTTAGGCTTGGGCAACCTGGCAGTATCCTAGCCCTCGTGCTTCCTTCGGGTGGCATGGCAGCGAGGCACCGGCATGGTGTTAAAGCTGAACGATGCCTGATGCAGATATTTCAACCTATATTTCGTCCTGTGAGCGAAGCCACTACCTTGGGAAAAACCGCCAATCGCTGTCGCTCATCAGTCTTGTGTACAAGTCTACAGAAAGCCCGACCTGAAGCCGCCACCTAGACGTGGTTGTTGGGCTTGAGTGATGCAATGATCCCGCACTCCATATTACAATAGGGTCAGAGACCGGGTGATGTGCCGAGGACGTCAAAAGACTTTCAGTGTCTGACCACCGATGTCCTCGGAGATTTACCCGAGTCTGGTGGAAACACCGGATTAGTAGTGCTAAAGTACGTCGAATAGTTTTCGGAAGAAATAACTCACCCACGATAGATCACCTGATCACACTGCAAAGGTTGCGCTGGCTTGGCCACTCTTCGTACGCCAGTCGACCGACATCGTCGAACGGTTTTCTTCGCGAAAGCACGCGAACGGGGCAAACTAGCCACGGGAGACCAACTAATGATTTGCCAGCGAAGTACGAAAACCATTACCAGCAAACTCAGCTGCACCGATCACTGCCGTCTTCCTGGATAAGGACCGCGATATGGAACATATCAATGGTTAGCAACATTGTCAGACCTGTCAAACACAGGCAAGAAGGCGATAAGAGCACTTAGCACTGTCTGTATCGGACCGCTTTCGTTTGACAGTGTTACGTCTTCGCCAGTTTTCCGAAAACTATCCAAAAGTTCGAAATGAAAAAAAAACAAGTTTCCTTATGCACTTAACTTTAGGCGCGCACCAAGTAACTCAAGATTGATATCCCGCATTATGAGACTCAGATATTACAAGAGAGATGCATCAAGTGGTTAGAGCGCGAATTTACCGACCGGAAGGTGTGGTTCGAACCCCAACTCTGCCTCTCGGCTTCCCCTGTTTAGGCTTGGGCAACCTGGCAGTATCCTAGCCCTCGTGCTTCCTTCGGGTGGCATGGCAGCGAGGCACCGGCATGGTGTTAAAGCTGAACGATGCCTGATGCAGATATTTCAACCTATATTTCGTCCTGTGAGCGAAGCCACTACCTTGGGAAAAACCGCCAATCGCTGTCGCTCATCAGTCTTGTGTACAAGTCTACAGAAAGCCCGACCTGAAGCCGCCACCTAGACGTGGTTGTTGGGCTTGAGTGATGCAATGATCCCGCACTCCATATTACAATAGGGTCAGAGACCGGGTGATGTGCCGAGGACGTCAAAAGACTTTCAGTGTCTGACCACCGATGTCCTCGGAGATTTGCCCGAGTCTGGTGGAAACACCGGATTAGTAGTGCTAAAGTACGTCGAATAGTTTTCGGAAGAAATAACTCACCCACGATAGATCACCTGATCACACTGCAAAGGTTGCGCTGGCTTGGCCACTCTTCGTACGCCAGTCGACCGACATCGTCGAACGGTTTTCTTCGCGAAAGCACGCGAACGGGGCAAACTAGCCACGGGAGACCAACTAATGATTTGCCAGCGAAGTACGAAAACCATTACCAGCAAACTCAGCTGCACCGATCACTGCCGTCTTCCTGGATAAGGACCGCGATATGGAACATATCAATGGTTAGCAACATTGTCAGACATGGCTGTGGTGCATCCGAGCTATTGTCCTTAATTCACAGCTCTCCTCCCAGCCTCCCGAAATAAAGTTCACTGATGACCCTCGTTTACGCATCAATCGTATCGGCTCCTGCCTCCAGTGAACACCTACCTACCCCATCTACCTAATCGGTGAAAGAAACTATGGCAGCTAGAGCCACTGTATGAGAAGTACGCAGTTGTTACAGTTGATGATGAGAATGAGTCTCCAGAAAGACTCAAACCCACACCTACACGAGCTAGCATTTGAAGCCTAAGCCATCCTGTCACGAGCAGAGGATTATTAATTGAGTTAACTCGCAATTATTCGGTCTTCAACCACTGCAACGGGCCCAAAAATCCCGAGGTTCATGAGATTTGCAGAGCGGTACAGAGGTTTTGGGCGCCTCAGCATAGAGACTCACTTGCTGGAGAAAATCTTGTACGTAACTTATAAATCTCCTGGTACGGTCAACAAACCACATGAGTAGCTCAAAGACGGGAGGCGCAAAGATGACCGTTCACTGGGGTCCAATCCAACAAAGCGCGTTCAGCTGCTGGGCTGAATGGAACTCCCGCACCATATACTGCATGAGTCACTGCTTCTGGAAAAGCGAAAACACGGATGGAGAAATGTCAGGGCTGAGATCGTCTTTGGCGTCTTGAGGTGCATGCCCACCTTTGGGTCGCAGCATACATTAATTTTAAGGGAGTCATCATCATAATCGACAGCATGACATCAGTGGTCAACACCGATGCTTCACTGCCGTACAACCGTGATTTATTTGAAAGCCTTATTGTAAAGAAAAGAGTGAAGGTGGACGGGGGAGGGACTTAGTGCTGGCTTACCACAATCATTCCGAGGTGCCTATATCTCCAGACATTCATCCAGGCGATCAGGGTATAAATTGACAACAAGAACGTCACTGACATCGGTTGGCAGCCATATCTTGTAGTGACTCCAACCAGGCATAGTGAGGATCACGCGGCCCCTATCCTGGCATGTTCAGTTATCCGGCAACTGAATAGCTATGCATTGAAACCAATAGCTTTGATGCACAAGCGCCACTGACTGCTCTGTCAACGAGAGCTTTTTAAAAGATTCCTTAGATAAGCGGCTTCAAGCAAGGAACTTCACTCTCTTTGTTCTTGTTCAACGCTGCAAATCTCGCTATTCAAATCATTCCTGGTGAGAACTTTGTCAACCTTGACTATGTCGACGGCATTGTCATCAATTTTGAAGACAAAGGTCGAGCACACGCTCTGTTAAACAAAGTGACCACCATCATCAGTGTATGGTTTGAACAAAGAGTGCGGTCGTGGTTCAGAAAGTGCCGTCTTTGGTCATGTCCAACGATCGAAGGATGCGCACTGGAGGCTGTGGAATGTTTTACATAACTGGGTAATTATATTAGCTCTAAGGGAAATGTGCTGAAGTCAATGCATGAATCTTAAAGGCCAAAATCACATTTGCGACACTTGTGGTCATAAAAAGATATATCACTAGGTCTCGAGGGTCGCGTGTACGAGGCTGCAGTAAGGCCCGTATTGCTGTTTGCGAGACATGTCCTCTGAGGGTAGATATTGTGAGGCATCTTCATATGTTGACAGCTGACGCTTCGGATGCATTGCTGGTGTTAGATGGCCTCAGCAGATTCATAAGGGAGTTATTAGAAAAGGGGTTTTGGTTGCGAAGCGGGTAATTCCGTCAACTACGGTGGCTACATTCTACGCATGCCGAAACCGCTGTCACTGATGGGGACTAGATGCTAAGTGAGCGCGACGACAAGACATAACTCTTCTACGAGTAAACGTACACAATCTGGAAATAACGAAGAAGCATAGTTAACGGATATTAATAACCTGAACACAAAGGGTGATCACGACAATCGTCTACGGACACGAGTGTGTCATGACTATCCTTTGTCTTCACATTGACGTTGCGTACTAGCCATACTTTCGTCATCACTTTCAGCTTATGTACGTCCATTCT